CCATTGTGTTTTCCAATTATGCTATACCAGAGTTAGTTTTTGAAAAGTATTCTATTTCTGAGCACCTTCTATGGTTTGTAATTTTTTCTTATTTTAAATAAGTAAGATGTTGCATGTTGCTTTGATTTTTCTGTACCAGCTTATTCTTGGAATAGCATTTTATTAATAATGTGTTAGTGAAGTATTTTTAAGGATGATATTTATACACAGTTGTAGTTAGTAATTGTAGTAATGTTTTATTTTTGTACCAGGTGACGGACTATAATAGCCAAATTGTTTTTGTACCAAATTAAATATTGGATAAAATTCCAATGCTATGCTTTTAACATAACAGATATTCTTAAACAACTGAATAAAGTTAATTGCACACTATTTGAACAATTTGTTTATGCTAATGAAATGGTGCACTGCCCTCATATGTAAGTTATGATCTGTAACACCTATATTTTGAGTTCGTGGTGAATTCCTGACTACTCAAAAGTGCAATAATGCCACAGATAAACTAATACTGGAGGAATATAATAAGCTTTTCTTAGAGAAATACCATACAGCAAATGATGAAGAGCCAAAGGACACAATATATCAAATAGGTGAGCATTCAGTGTTCTCCATAAAAGTGTAATATTCACACAGCAGAGAATTAAATAAACTATGATCTCTGAAACCACACCCCAACTCAGTCCAGGCAAACCTCCTCATTCACAAAATGAAGGTTATGGTTCAAAAGAAAATTATCCAGCACAAGTAAAAGTACCTGTCCCTAGTGACCGGAAAAGTTTAAGTTAATCTATCAATTTAAATTATTTCATGGACTTTAAAAAGTTAATTGTGTTGTACTTTTGGTTTCACTCAGAGCCAAAGTTCTGAGCTACTTATACTGCCCACTGCTAAGAGCCACTCAACAATAACATATGGTAAATCTACATTTTTATTCTTTAAGTTACATCACATTTTGAAATGTGAATGATAGTGTGATTAATTCCTAACAATTAAGTGTAGAATATCTGCTTGCAAAATAAAATTTGGCATCAACATTATTCATACCCTCCCATCATTTCAAAAGTGAATGTTGAGCTTTGCCTGTGTGCACAGCTTTTCAAACGCAGCATGGGAAGCACCTCCATAAATGGGAGACAAACGAATGCTTGGAGAAACACAATGTTTGCAATATGTACAAGATGAAAAGGCATTATGATATCTCCTTGTACTGTTAAATAACTACCAAGAATTTGAAGTTAACAAAGACTCGCATTGCTTCAACCCACAAAGTGAAATCAACAGCTATTTTCATGGGAAGATGGCCAAAGAAACTTGAAACAAAGCAATCAAGATGGTTAGGAAAGAAAGTCATTAAAGTAATACTGCAATAGCGCTAAAATTCTCTATTGATCAATTAAAACTTTACCAGCCAATCTACATGTAGCTAAGTACGGTAAAACATTGAGTTTTATATTAAGTCCTTAAAGTAATTTTTGCAACTTTTTTACATCATTTATTTTATGAAATAATGGTGGTTATATTAATTTTTTTAACACTTAAATTATTGTGGAATACTGTATATTTGCCAATTTTGAATTTCTTAAAAAAATTATCTCAATAATGTCTTTTGTTATGCTGTTTTTCCTAACATAATTTCACTGAAATAATGCTAATTTTTGCCATCTGTTTATGACTGGAATAATGCTTGTTATACACTATTTTGACTTTTGTACCAATTTAAATCTATTAATAATACTATATTGCTAAAAGATTAATATAGTGACTGTAATGTGTTTCTTATGCTTCCAGTGTGTCTATTGATCATCCATCTTCTCAATTTGGACCAGCCCTATTACAGGTTGAGGTGATTACGTTTATATATGGTGAGTTGATATTCATTGTGTTTTTGGTGCTGTTGTATTTTTTTATTGTATTCTGCTTCTATGTATCAGAATTATATGAATGGGAAATTTAATTATTATGAATAATTAAACAGTAATCAAATGATGTTATAAAGTGTGGTTTGCTTTTGTATAAAACCTGTTACATATTACAATTTCAAATAGCCTAAAACTGAGTTAAGTTGTAATTTAGATTTAGTAGTTAAATAAATGCCAATATATATCCAGTTTATGATATTTGCCAACAAGATTGATACACACAGTTTCCTTTTTTTTTAATACAAATATATTTTAATATACAAACAACAGCACAATTTACAATAACAGTTATTACAAATAGTTATTACAAACAATGATTTATATACAAAAGTTTTACAAATTTACAAGCAGTATAAAGTTATCTTTCTGGTCTGGAGCTTCCTTGATATCTTATTGAGGATTCACAATAAGCGAGTTAATTTTGAGTTGATGTAGGTACAATTCACTTAATTGGGAGCTAGCTAGCTCTGTGGTCTTCACTGATCACATGCCGAATTTCTGGTCTGGAACTTCCTCGATATCCTATTGAGGATTCACAATAAGCAAGTTAATTTTGAGTTGATGTAGGTACAATTCACTTAATAGGGAGCTAACTAGCTAATGTTTTTGTAAAAGTATTAATGTCCATTGTGAATCCACTGAAGTTAAATGGTTTGT